TCAATGCATATAACTAAAACTTTTTTTTAGGAAAGGAAACATCATGAGTCCATACTGATATTTCCAATTTAAACAAAGATTACATATTTTGTATAATTTCCTAATAACTTTAAATTTCATGCAGTTTTCTTCATACACCATTCCATTTCATTGCCTGTTACTTTGGGATAACTGTTCAGGCAGCGCAAAAATAGTTTCTTTTAGGAAACTTCCATAACCTTTAAAATGGCCTGTCTCCCTTTGCTATTCCCATGGTACCCTCTGTACCCCTGTCATGGTTTTTAGCACGTTATGATGTGTGCTCTCCTTTCAGGAAAGCCTGTCTTATTTTTCTTTAGCTTCTAGCATAAATACTGTTGCATAGTAGGTTTTCAGTGAATGTTGAACAGAACTTGTTTTTGCCCAGTTGTTCATGCTTTGTTTGGGTATATTATCCTTTTTTTTTTCAAGGCAAATACTGTATAATATTCAGAAATGAATCTAAAACATTTTTATAATCCCTTTAGAGTTTTCTTTTCCAAATGAACTTTTAGAGTTAAAAATCATGTAATGGCTTTGTTTTATTGGAGATAAGTAATTAGGTTTAAAGTCATCTCATAGTTTCTGTAACTTTTTTCTCTCTAGTATGTTTTTACTCAGTACAATAAACCATTCTTCAGCACCTTTGCAAAAACATCGATGTTTGTTCTGTACCTTTTGGGCTTTATTATTTGGAAGCCATGGAGACAACAATGTACAAGAGGATTTCGAGGAAAGCATGCTGCTTTTGTAAGTTTTCAATTTTAAATGTTTGTTGGAGACAGATATAGTTTTTCAAAGTTTAAAGATGTATTAGTTTCTTGAAGGACAGTCCAATTTTAAGTTGTTCAGTTAAGTGAGTGAACATAGCATATTATAAGAAAAACCTACTTTTGTCCAAAACTTTAAGTGTATTCTTTTAATCACCTTCGTATCAGAATATCTTGTGAGAAATCAAAGGTATATAATCACCCTCTTTTCTTTATCTCATGACATCCTCTGAGTTGTTAAACATTTTTGAACTAGCCTAAATCATTTAATGTGGAGATGATGATGAAAGTAAGGAAGAAGAAGAATATCTGGATCTCTGATCTTTTGTAGACTAGATGATTATCATCTAATTGGTTATAATATTGATTGTAAAAGCAAAATTATTCAAGGTTTATTTGTTAAAATGAAAATAGCATATTTCAGGGCATGTTTCAGATGTTTGGCTAATCAAATTATGTTCTTTCAGTGCTGATTCATAGAAATAGAAACTGAAGTTTTGAGAATGAAGAATATAACACTGTCTCAATCCTTTTTTTATTCTCTCTCCTTTTCTTTTTAAAATTGTGGTAAAATATACATAACATCAAATTTATCATTTTAACCATTTTTTTTCTTTTTCCCTTTTTTGTTCGTGCACTGGGGGTGTGGGGTTGTCCCTCAGTCCAGCCTGTGTTCTCTTGAAGTCCGGGACCCCTTGGGGGATGTCTGTCCGCCAGCAGTCAGACATCCCTCTCACAGTCTGGGGCTCTTGCAGTCCGGGACTTACCGCCCGCCTTCAGCAGAGGCAGGAGAGGCTCCCGCCACCGCTGCTGCGCTCACCAGCCATGAACCCAGCTTCTGGCTGATCAGCGCTCCCCCTGGTGGTCAGTGCGTGTCATAGCGACCGGCCGGCCGTTCAGCCGTTTGGTCAATTTGCATATTAGGGTTTTATTATATAGGATATGTATATATAAAACAAAAGTTCCTATTTGAAACATTTTTATTTTATTTTTAAAATATATTTTTATTGATTTCAGAGAGGAAGGGAGAGAGACATAGAAACATCAGTGATGAGAAAGAATCATTGATTGACTGCCTCCTGCATGCCCCTTGCTGGTGATCGAGCCCGCAGTCTGGGCATGTGTCCGTTACTGGAATTGAACCTGAGAGCCTTCAGTTTGCAGGCTGATGCTCTATCCACTGAGCCAAACCAGCTAGGGCAATTTGAAACATTTTTAAAAGTATATAGTTCAGTGGCAGTAAGTATTTTGCTGTGCAAACATCACCACTATCCACTCCAGAACTTTTTCATCATTCCAAACAGAAACACTGTGCCTATTAAACAGCTCCCATGTCCCTCCTCCCTTCCTTCTCTGGTTAGTACTGTTTTACTTTCTGTCTCTGTCACTCCTATTCTTTTGTCCGCTATTTTTTGTGTAGGTTAAAATACTATTATATCTTGTCTTATCTAATGAGTACATTCTTGAGAAATACAGTCATTTGATTTTTATCAGGGGCTTTTCAGTAACTTTTTGAGGTTAAGCCTGGAAGTATACACTTATATGTGCACAAAAATTTAACTTTTATGAAAAAAAGTGTGTGCATATATATTTTTAAGAGGAATATATAGACATTATAGAAATGTATATATATTATAGTATTACATGTAGGAATGTTATATGTATGTGAATACATGTACATTGTCAAAAATTTAGAAAATATAGACAAAAAATAATAAATTCTACCATTCAAGGAATAATTCTACCATTAAAGGAATGAATTCTACCATTCATTGACAGTATTTTGGCATATATCCTGCAGTTTTTTTTCATGTGTGCATTTGTTTCATTTTTCACAAAAGTGAAATTTACTGTTATGTCCTGTATTATAACTTGTTATCATGAACAACTTTCTATGTAATTTAGTATTACTAGAACATTTTTTAATATTAAAGATTTTTTGAATGTAGTAGTGATAAATGTTCATTGTTGAAGACAAATTATAATAACAAGAAGAACAAGAATAATCTATCCACAATCTCACCATTCTAAGGCCACTATAAATATTTGATATTTTCTATAGCTATATATTTATGTAATAATACTTAAAATTATTTATAGCAGAAATAAGTTTAGTCTTATAGTTATACCTAACTTATATCTCTGTTAGCAGTATATGAGATTGAATCCTTACCAAAACCCTAACATTTGCCAACTTGATTAAGTGATCAGTGGCATCTTGTTTAATATGCATGGTTTGGGTTACTCTTTCATATATTTGTTGCACAATAGAATTCTTTTATCAGTTGTCTATATATCTTGTCCATTTTTCTACATTGACTTTTTCTTATTGATATACAAGCATTCTTAATAGCATGGACTTTGTATTTGAATCTTGTTCTGTCACTACTGATTGTGTGACCTTGGGCAAGTTATTTAACCTCTAGCGACTAAGCAAGGATAATGATAGGGTAGCTGTGGGTATGAATAAAAGCCTGCTTATATACCACTAGCACCATGCTTCTCAGAACGTGGTCCAGCCGCTGAGATCCATTTAGGGAATTCTTGATTAATACTGTTATCATGATAATACGAAGATGTTATTTGTCTTTTTCACTAACCACTCACTCTTTCCTTTCCCTGCTAATCTGAAATATTATAATAGTATTGTGAAAGGAGCATACATTTTGGAGTTAGATTAACTTGGGTTTAATCCTAACTCTTGTTACTTAGATAAAATCTCTCAGTCTCAGTTTCTTTAAAATGAAGATAATACCAACCTTGCATGGATGAATACTGACCATTAGCTGCTATTATTGTTAATAATAGTTATATTCTTATAGATCTAGTCTGGTTTTTCTATTCTTTTAAGCTGTGACTGACACTAGTCCTACTTTATCATGAGTTTAATTGAATTTTTTGTCCTGTTATCTGTAGTTTGCAGATGCTGAAGGTTATTTTGCTGCTTGCACAACAGACACAACTATGAGTAGCTCTTTGGTAAGTGCTTCTTTTTTTGTCAGGAATGGAGCAGAGGGAGGTGAGCCATAGTGGGAAGGACTGAATAGCTTTGAACACCAAAGCTACATTAGAATATATATAAATATTGGGTGCCCTCCATGATTATTTTAGCTTGGTACTCTCTTTCTTTAGGGACACCTGGAGCCAACAAATAAGCAGTTCAACTACTACAGGGGAGAGAGGGGGAGGGAAATAGTTAAGAAGTGAAAATAGTGATGGGCAGCCCTTTGTCCTTTGTTTCTTAAAAGCTTTGTCACTTCGTGTTTATTATTATACTAGAGGCCCGGTGCATGAAATTCGTGTACTCGGGCGGGGAGGGGGCCTCAGCCCAGGAGCCCTTGGGGGATGTCCGACTGACGACTTAGGCCTGCTCCCTGCGGGGAGCAGGGGGCAGCTCCTGCGTTGAGCGTTTGCCCCCTGGTGGTCAGTGTGCATCAATTATATAGGATTATTATCACTTAGAAACACATGTATTTGCTTGACACTGAGAATTTTTAAGCAGATTTTTCATTAGTCCCATAAATTTTTTAAGAGTGCTTAATCTGTATTAAGCACTTGTTTTTTACTCTGGAAATATAGTTTACATTCTAGTAGTGAGAGCATAAGTTTGGAAAGGAGAAGGAGACAGATAATAAGCAGATAAAGTAATGCATTTACTTATATTAGGCATTTATAATCTCATTGGAGAGATAATATATTAAAATATTTATTTAGACCATCACTAAAACATTTTTTAATGTATTGTTCAAAATGTGGCATTTTGTCTGAGAAGAATTTTAAAGTTGCTCTAAAATTTAATACAAATTTATATGGATTGGCTTGGTTTTTTGTTTGTCCGGCTTCTAGAACTACATTTGTATTCAGGGTAGGTTACCAGGTGCTGTGAAAAGTTTTTGAAGCTTAGGGAAAATGTCATCTCATTTCTCTGGGATCGTAAGCATCAACAAAGTATTATCAGTTGTCTCTTTCAGTGTAGAAAGCAGAGCTAAGATGTCAGCCTACTCTTCTAACTACTCTTCTAATTTCTTTAAAAATATATTTTATTGATTTTTTTACAGAGAGGAAGGGAGAGGGACAGAGAGTTAGAAACATCGATGAGAGAGAAACATCGATCAGCTGCCTCCTGCACACCTCCTACTGGGATGTGCCCACAACCAAGGTACATGCCCTTGACCGGAATCGAACCTGGAACCTTTCAGTCTGCAGGCCGACGCTCTATCCACTGAGCCAAACCGGTTAGGGCTCTTCTACTAATTTTTGCTATTATCTTTAAGATGGATATGTCAAATCATTCTAGGCCAAATGCTGTAATGAAAAGTTCAATGTAACAAGAGACTACATCTATTTCCAGATTCTATAGTCTCTTCATTTACTGAATATTTTTATTGGTGGAGTTCTATACCAGGAGTTAAAAGAGAAATCAAAGATATAAAACACAATTTTATGTTAATTTAAGAAACAGCTTGGTTGGAGAATTGTTTTTTAAATATGGATTATCTGAACAATTTTTGCAAAAACAGTTGAATTTAAAACAACTTAAAAATATCGATCTTTAGAACATGTTAGACAAACCTGGCTTAATTCTGTTGTCTACCACTGGGTTATTATATCTCAGCTTCTAGAAAAGTTATTTAAAATACCATTTTATAAGGTGGTTTCAAGGGCTAATGAGAAATGTATGTTTAACTGCTCTGGACTTGGTACCTGGTACATAGCAAGAACTGGTAAGTGGTAGCTTTTTTTTTTCTTATCTGTTAATGCTAAAAAAGTTTTCAGGAATTTTTGGTTTTAGTTGAATCTTAAGTAATAAGAGAAAACAACTTGGTGAATATATATACATATTATATAGGTGATTATCTGTTCACTGTCTGCCTTCCCCTTTGGACTACTTGATCACTGAGGACACTTCGTTCACTCTTATATTCTCAGGAAGTAGGACAGCACCTGACATAGTGGGACTCAACATGTATTTATTAAAATAATGAATGAAAAGGAATGGGAGGTAATCTGTTAATTGAGAGATGGGTCTGCTTTTATGACATTTAAATGTTAAGTATTATAAGATACCAATGCGGTATTATTACACTTACAAACTTGAAACTGGTTCTTTTCTGTCGTTGTACCTATGTGCATCGTTTGAGTTTCTCCTTTAAGTCTTGAAAATGCATTTTGGGAAAATTATGCTGTAAAAACATGGTGGTGAACAGCCATGTTTTGAGTGGTATCTGTGCCTACAAACCATCCACTTAAATTTTATCCACTATATCAGGTATTACATATTTGTTTATGTTTGTTTCTGTTTCTGTTATGTTCCAGAGTGAACCTCTGTATGTTCCTGTGAAATTTCATGATCTTCCCAGTGAAAAACCTGAGAACACAAATATTGATACTGAAAAAAGTAAGCAAAACTTAGAATTTCATATCTTAGATATGGGTGGAAATCTTAGCTTCATTCAAGCCATCCCAAAACTTAGTGATTTTTGAGATCACTTGGCAGTTGTCTGTTCACGTGGTATTGGCTTTGCCTGTAGTCTTCCAGAAGTATGACTGGAGTTTTTATTAATTCAACTGTAAATAATTTCCAAATACAAGAAGTCTCTGTGCTTTATATATATACTTCTTTTCTTAATGAACAATATTCTCTTCAACCATGCCATCAAAAAAACTTGATAGCCAATTATAGGAATTTTGCTGGTTCTGTGAATTTAGTAAAGAATGCCAGCTTCAACATAAGGCACAGTATTTATCCATAATGTTCTTTTGCAACGAATGGACCTATAGAGGAATATTCTGTATTCTTGAATGGAAACTAATTCTCATAAATTGATTATCTATGAGGGAAAATCCAAAGTTTTACTATAAATGCTAAAATAATAATCTAATAAAAGAGAAACATGCAAATTGACTGTACCTCCGCTATGCCCCAAGCCACGCCCACCAGCCAATCAGAGTGACTATATGCAAATTAACCCAACCAAGATGGCGGCCGACAGCCACAGAGCTGGAGCAAGCAGGAGGCTTGGTTGCCCCGGTGATGGAGGAAGCCAAGCTTCCTGCCTGCTCTGGCCGGCTGTGGCCTCCGTTCAAGGCAACAAAGTTTCAATTATAGAAGATAAATAAATCCCAGATACCTGCTTCCAGCCAGCCTCCACTGGGAGCTTGGGTGGCTGGGGGCCGTGGCCAGCCTGCAAACAGCCATCAGCCCCTCACCCAGGCTGGCCAGGCACTCCAGCGGGGACCTCCACCCTGAAGGGGCTGTGGCCAGCCTGCAAACAGCCATCAGCCCCTCACCCAGGCTGGCCAGGCACTCCAGCGGGGACCTCCACCCTGAAGGGGCTGTGGCCAGCCTGCAAACAGCCATCAGCCCCTCACCCAGGCTGGCCAGGCACTCCAGCGGGGACCTCCACCCTGAAGGGGCTGTGGCCAGCCTGCAAACAGCCATCAGCCCCTCACCCAGGCTGGCCAGGCACTCCAGCGGGGACCTCCACCCTGAAGGGGCTGTGGCCAGCCTGCAAACAGCCATCAGCCCCTCACCCAGGCTGGCCAGGCACTCCAGCGGGGACCTCCACCCTGAAGGGGCTGTGGCCAGCCTGCAAACAGCCATCAGCCCCTCACCCAGGCTGGCCAGGCACTCCAGCGGGGACCTCCACCCTGAAGGGGCTGTGGCCAGCCTGCAAACAGCCATCAGCCCCTCACCCAGGCTGGCCAGGCACTCCAGCGGGGACCTCCACCCTGAAGGGGCTGTGGCCAGCCTGCAAACAGCCATCAGCCCCTCACCCAGGCTGGCCAGGCACTCCAGCGGGGACCTCCACCCTGAAGGGGCTGTGGCCAGCCTGCAAACAGCCATC